TAAGCCCAGGATAAGTAAGAGAACTAGATCACCTGAGACTGGTCAAGCAGATCCTGAATTAGCTTTAGGACGCAGTTTTCTTCTACAACTTTCCAGGTTCCATTGCTCTGACACTCCGCTATCCTTTYCCCCACCTCATYTGRAYCACAAGAAASTTCAGCCCGTTCATCAAGATTTCCAACACCAAACTCACTGCCTCCGTCACATAAGAAGACTGGAGAGAAACAAGTGGGTTTTCACATTACTACAGGAAAAAAAACATTGACCTAAAACTGTATTAAAWATGCTGTWAAATGTAAGACTTACCACCCGTGGAGAACTCCAGAGTAATTTCGTTTTTAAAAGAAGTWKAGTTTACYGCTTGACAAGTGAACTTCAAATTTGGGGTTGGACACTCCTCAATTTTAAATGAAAATGTGATTGATTGAGCTGGGGCTTAAAATTAAGGAAAACACAAAACACATCATCTGAAATACCCTTTTAAGAACTGCATCAATATGTAAATCAACTATTTTTTTTATTGTTGGAGACTTACCAATGGATTGATCTTTAAACTCAACCTTGTAGGGGCTGTTGACAGAGCACCTCAGTAACACATCCTTTCCCACCTCACACTGGACCTTTTGTTTCAATGGCATTACTTGGACTAAAGGTGTTTCCTTATAAGAGAAAACTTTGTTGGATTTCTGTCTGAAGATGCTTCCTTCTTTCAACCTACATTCGTATTCTCCTGAAAATAGAAGATGACATCAGTTCAGGTCAAATCGATGGAAAACCACTGTTTCCAAAATAATTCAAAAATATTTTGAGATACTGGATAACAGTCCCATCCAGTGACAAGGCAACAAAGCAAAGAAAGTTTCATTTAGCATTAACATACGGCAACATACAGCATTTCTGTCTGTTCTGTACATGACATGTCCTSTTCTTTTTTGAAGATAAAATTGGAAACCAAAATAAATTGTCATTTCTATCGTAGATTTTATGTAGAGAATTGTTTCCATTCAAAAACTCATAAAGAATGTCTTAAGCCACCTAACCATAAAATAGAAACATAACCATT